AGGAAGAAAGAAAGAAAGAAAGAAAGAAAGAAAGAAAGAAAGGAAGGAAGGAAGGAAGGAAGGAAGGAAGGAAGGAAGGAAGGAAGGAAGGAAGGAAGGAAGAAAGAAAGAAAGAAAGAAAGAAAGAAAGAAAGAAAGAAAGAAAGAAAGAAAGAAAGAGCGAGCCTAGGCTAGGGCTGGTGGTGGGAAATTAAAAAACTCACTGCTGGTTGGTGGGAAATTAGAGCTGACTGCTAATAGACACGGAAGTTCTTTGGGAGGGGTGCATGAAAGAGTTCTAAAATTGGTTTAGTGATTATGCCGCAGCTGTGAATTTAGCAAAACCACTGAGTTTTAGACTTAAAACTAGAGGAATATATGTTATCTTAAATTGTATCTGCTTTCTAAACCTGGGCTGGGAATGCTTCCCTGATTCAGGGATGTCAGAGTCACGTTACTTCGCTGTCGGAGGATCTCCTGTGACACTCTGCTGAAGTGTCAAAAGCAAGCAAACAGCTTGCTCAGTTCATTCCCTTGATCCCAGAGCTCCAGAGGGATTGTTTCTTTCAGCCACTGCCCCAGATAATACAGGGCATCCAGGAAGCAGTGGGTCTACAAGCATCGTGCAGCAAACACAGATGCGCCACCTCACCTAAGAAAAACTAGTTTGATTTGTGGTTCATCCAAGGTCTAACGTGATTTACTGAGAGAACCTGTCCTCCCAGTTCTTGGCTCCTCAGCCAGGGGAACACGGTTCGAATATTTCTGTTAAATAAATAACAGATAGGCAAAAACAAAGGAGAAAGAAAAGATGGCTGATAAGTACATTCTCCTCACAGTTGTCAGAGACGGGGATGTGGACTCTCCCATGAATGCTTCAAGGGTCACTCCAGGCCACCTGACCACGGGGATCTGTGAAAAGAACCTTCCAGTCTCCGCAATATCCAGGGCACTTTCCAATCAATAGCCTCCCCCAGATTCTTTGCGTTTTGAGCACTGACTGATAACAGCAAGATTTCTGATCTCAGCCGTAGGCTTCGTCACACGTCTCTCACTCCCCTCTGACCTGCGAAGAGCTGATCGGCTGATCTGCGTGAGTCTGCGCAGTATAGAGAATTCTCCCCTTACAGAACACCTCTCACATAGTATTGTGAACCAGAGAGTTCTTCCTTAGACCAAAGTAAACTCGGTTTTTCTGGAGCATGCATACTTGGGGTCCTGGGTAGACCTTCGCCTTATCTAAAACTGCCTTGTGTGAGCTTGTTCGTCCATCAGCCTTCTTGACTAGGGAATTTCAAATATACCATCTTGGCTAAACACATTTCTTGGAAACTTCTAATATAATAATGTTTTTAAGAACTTACTGTTCTCCTGGCTCTTTTTAAACTCCCTAGTGATAGGGAGTATATTTCCACTTCTATAAAGTAGAGGTGGGTGGTAAAGCCTATAGACTTGGGCTAGTAAAAGGAATTAACGTGAAGGAAAGTATTGTCTTACAGTTCAGAACACTTTGTAACTATAAAAAAAAAAACCTGTTAAAATACATCTGCTTCCTGGGAGGCAGCTTGAATATAGGTATTAGAAAGTTACAATTCAAAATGTGGTTACAACTCCAAAGGACACTCTGGGGGTCACCAGGAAGCTTGTTAGAAACAATCCAGGCCCCCATTCTGTTTATTAACAAGACCCCCAAATGCTTCTTGTGCACCTTAAGCTTGGAGGAATGCCTTCAACCTCAAAAATTCAAGTGCGTTCTCACTTGGCAATCCCTGCCTCAAGTATCTGCTCAGAGAAAACAATTAGTGAAGTGTGGAAGAGATGTATAAAAAGTGCCCGGTGCTTCTGTAACAGCAGAAACCTGAAACAATTACAGGTCTACTAGTCAAAAACTGCCCAGGGGCTCACTGATTCACCCTGGGTATACCTGCGGTCTCCCTGGGAGCTTGTTGATGATACAAGGCACACCTTCACAAGGCCAGCCTGCACTACCTCTGTAAAGCAAGCCTGGCAGCTGGTACTGTGCCAAGAAGATGCCGGTGCTTTGCTGTGAATAAAGGTATCCATTCAGCTTGGTACAAAATGGTTTTAGTCCCCCCCACCCCACATGAGTTATGCCTGGGGTGGAACCACACCATTGGCCTCTATCCAATCCCAAGACTCCAGCCAGTTAAACTTTTGCTAGCATATCTAGGTGTTTCTCCTAAGTATAATGGTCAGGTACAACTATTAGCAACTATTAGTACAACTATCTAAGATATAACCAATTAGAGGAGGATGGTGAAGACACAACTGAGAGAGCATCTTCTTCATTTTTAGTTGTGGGCTATTTGCAAAATCTGCCCTCTGACTGCTCTATTCTTTGTAGCTGAGAAATGTATCCAGTTCCTTTGTATCTAGTTGCCGATCGTCCCCTTTGTGGCTCTGTTACTCTTGTCCTGCGGTCACTCAATTTATTGAAGAGGAGCCTGTCATCATGACTGAATTCAATTTGGAGCATTTCAGAGAAGACAATATGCCCTAAACACTTTATTTTACATTGTAAAGCTGCCCTTCGCCTTGACACTCCACAGCTCCCTCTGTGCTGTATTTTTCCCCACAGCTCCCCTCCCATCTACTGCTTACTTCATTTTACTAATTGACAGTCTTGTCCTCCTCTTGCAACTGAGGGTGACAGTCCAGGTAACTTTGCTGTTTGTTCTCTCCAGTGTCTTAGCACTTAACAGTGTCTGGTACCCAGGAAGCATTTGGAATTCAGTGAGTCAATTTGTGCGAAGCATTGCAGGGTCCTCAGACCGCTGGTCTTCCAGAGTTACCCTCGATGTTTTGACTACATCCAAGATTCACAGCCTTTTAGCTTTCTGGCTTTCTGTTCAAAGTTAATGCTGATAACAGATTAAGAATTAAAGAAAAGTTTGTCTTGTTCTACCTGTTCAAGGTCAAGGAGGGTAGTGGCTGGGAAGGTTCATCCAAGCCAGCAAACATACACGCAGAGAAGTCAACTGAGAAATAGATCTCGGTTAGAAACAGATAACCACAGAGTGCTAAGACCCAGAAGTCGTGGAGTCTAAGAGAACCAGATCAGGACTAGAAAGAAAATCCGTGAAGTCAGAAAACCAGTCTACTCATCCAGACATGGTGCTACATGACAAATAATACCAAACACAAAAAACTGAATAATTATTAGACTGATGACTAGCTCCATCGGTCAAATGGAATCTATTAAAATACAACCATTAAAAATGTTCTTGTAGATTTCCTGAATAAATTGGGAGTATGGGGACCATGGGAGAGCATAAAAGAGTAGGGAAGAGGAAGGGAGGAGAGTGGAGAAAAATATATAGCCCAATAAAAACAATTTTAAAAAATGTTCTTGCACAAATCTAGTAGAGTGAAATAAAAAAAACTAAGTTGGAAATTACACTTGGAGTGTGATCACGTTTTTGCTTTGCTATGTGTGTTACCTACAGCTAAGTAAAAGCAGAGCTGAGAAGCCAGTTCGCTCAAAAAAAGTGGTAACATGAGTATAAAACCTAAATTTGAGTGGGTGGGGGGTGTCAAACACCTTTAGTCCTAGCACTCAGAAGGCTCTCTGAGTCATAGACCAGCCTACACAAGATAGCCAGACCTACACAGAGAAACCCTGCTTCAAAAATAAATAGATAGGAGAGAGAGGTGGGGGGGAGGAAGGAAAGGAAGGGAGGGAGGGACGGAGGGAGGGAGGGAGAGAGGAGAAGAAAAATCAAAATAACAGCAGCAGCAACAACAAAAAAAAATAAAAAACAAGCTCAGGTCCCCTACATCTGCACAAAAATCCAGTCTCAGTAGCATGCATCTAGAACCAAGCACCAGGTAATTAGGAATGGGAGGATTCCTGGGGCTCACTGGCCAGAATGCCTAGCTGAATTGGTGAGCTCCAAGTTAGTGAGGGACCCTGTCTTAAGGAATAAGATGAAAAATAATTGAAGAAAACTTCACAGCCAACCGCTGGCCTCCACCTCTGTGTATACACTTGTACACGGGCACATACACACATACAATATATAGGTGGAAGAACTTGCCAAAATGGTGCTGGCAGTTGTAGCTACATCTGGATGGTAATAGTAGGGATGGCTTTAACTTCTTTTTATTTATTTTCTCTTTCCAATTTGTCAATGCACATTTTCTACACTGGCTAGAAAAATAAACTTTAGACCGTCTGTTTGCTGTGTGTTCGGTGTTCTCCACCTTAGCAAGAGGACTTCTTGCTTCATTTCTGTACTAATGAAGTCCTTGAAGACTCAGCTGACTGAGTGTGGCTCCAGGAGGAAAGCTCCTCCCACTTCTCACAGCCTCGGCCATCTCTTTAAAAACTCCCACCTCTAGGCACATCACAGAGGAAACTCTTCTGCCAAAGGGACTGTGCTAAAAAAAAAAAAAAAAAGCCCAAATAAAGGTAGGAATGACAGCTGGGGAGAGAGGCTGAAAAGGAAGTGCTCAGAACTCTGGAGAAGGTTCACAGCCCCAGGACTGTTTTGTTGAGTGGCTTGGCTTGTTTAAACAGATTCCTTTTTAATATTAAGCCAAGGCATTGTAAGCAAGTTTACAATGAAGGTCATCTGACCCGACAGGTTTCTCTTAAGGGGAGGAAGAGGTTGAAGATTTGATTAGTGAGGCGTTTTATTCAATTGGTGCTGCTTATTAAATTACCACCAATAGTGTGACCTGACCACACTGGCGGATTCTCTTACCTTTGTCCTCCTGAAGCAGTAATGACTGGTCAACTCATTGACAGGAGACGATGGCAAAGAAGGTGGCTGTGATTGGAGCAGGAGTCAGTGGCCTGATCTCTCTGAAGTGCTGCCTGGATGAGGGTCTGGAGCCCACTTGCTTCGAAAGGACTGAAGATATCGGGGGACTGTGGAGATTCAAAGTAAGTGAGACTTTCCATGCCTCAGATTATGACACGCTGAAATTTCAAGGTGACTGATGAGCCTTTGAAAGATTTCTTAAGCAGTTTTGGTCCAGTTTTGTTTTTATTTATCTATGCAGCTAAGCAGGAACTGAACTCGGGCTGGCATCTCTCCCGGGTCAGTATCGTGCCAACCCACGTGACCAACTCGGGGATGCAAGGAATCTTCTCTTTAAAAGCCAGCTAATTGCCAAACAGCCCATGTTTTTGTCATTTTTCTGATAGACTAATTAGATAATATACTAATATTAGAAAGCATTTTATAAAATAGAAGTAATTAGAATTATTTTTAAGACATCACTTCTAATCACTGAGTCAAGTGCTTCTTCAGAGAATGGGCCCTTATTACTTCTGACTTTGTTTTTCTCTTAAAATAAACCATGTGCCGGGCGGTGGTGGCACACACCTTTAATCCCAGCACACAGGAGGCAGAGGTAAGCAGATCTCTGTGAGTTTGAGGCCAGCTTGGTCTATAAGAGCTAGTTTCAAGATAGCTAAGGCTGTTACACAAAAAAACCCTGTCTTCAAAAAACAAAAAACAAAAATAAAATAAAATAAAATAGAGCATGCTTGTTTACTGAGCTTTTCTGGTTATATTCCAGTATAACCTGTTGTGAACCTCTTTGTCAAATATTTTCTATTAATTAAAGTCATTCTTCTTACTCAACCTAAAATTTCATAATATTATTTGCCATTCAAAATTTTATTGACAGATTCATAGGCTATGTAGGCTTATGACTATGAATGTAAATATTTGCATTCCTTCCAGAGAGTGGTATGGCACTTGTCTGGGGTTCCACCTCTAGGGAGGGTGAAGCAGGGGGATTGGAAATTTGAGGTCAGCTTGGGCTACATGTCAAAACTCTGTCTCAATCAGAAAATATCCTCCTTACCGGACATGTCGGATCAAAATCTCCCGAGGAAATTCAGGCAAGCCTCACGCGAACCCTACAGTAATGAGACAGCTTAGCAAACGGTGGGACAGGTTGTCAAGTGAAAATGTGTTCACGCAACCATGAAAACACAGAGTTAATGATGGAGACCTTGACCTTCATGTGAGACAAGTGGCTTTGCTGGGAGGAATCACATTTATATCTTAATAAGCACTGGCTGCTAGAATTAGAACTTTTCCTGAGAAAGTGACGTAATATATTCCTGTCTTAACTGATAGCTTGTTTCCTTCTCCACTGGAGGCGCACACGGGGTTTTATTTTGCATGTGAATAGGTTTAAATTGTAACCAATTTAACATATTTATTAATTGTGTGTGTGTGTGTGTGTGTGTGTGAGAGAGAGAGAGAGAGAGAGAGAGAGAGAGCACACCAGCGGTGAGCTTGGGGGCTCCAGTGTCACAGCATGCACATGAAGACCAGAGGACAAATCTGTAGAACTGGTTCTTCCCTCCGCCCTTACATGGGTTGCAGGGATTGCATTCATATCTTCAGGTTTGCACAGTAAGAGTTTCACCCGATGAGCCCCTTCAGTGATCCTGTAACAAATTTAATGTTCAAGACTTAATATCTAAGCACAAAGTGTTCCTTGTTTGTTGCGAATTTGTTAGCCGAAGAGGTAAAAGTTACTTTGAATGGTCTGTCAACATTTAATACATTTAATACATTCCAGTAAGGTGGTTCCTATAGCATTTCCATGGCCCCAGTGTATTAGATTTTAAAATCAGAGATCGTTTCTAATGTATTTTGTGAAAAAAATATAGATTAAAAAGTGAATTAATTAATCCTTATTAGATAACATTAAATACATAATTTCCAAGCATCTATAACAACATCATAGGCCAGGCCTCTCTTAAGACTACATCTAACGGAGAGTAATAAATAATTTGCTCCCCTAAGAGACCTCCTTCCTTCAGAGAGAAACACTGAGCAAAATTTTACGGATTGCTGCTGGGGGGGGGGGGGGGCATGGCATCTTGGGAACTGGGGCCCAAGGCATTTTGGGTACTCGGCTTCTGAGATAAGAAGACTCTGGAAAAGGATTCTGGGGGCATCAATGCCCATCCCAGGAAACTGTTCCTCACAATTATACCATTGTAAACTAGCGCAAATCTCTTTTTTACTGCTTCCCACACCGACACAGAATCCTCTGATCCCTCGGCACATCTAATGCCAACTTAAAAACAAAACCAAGAAGTTCACATCTATGTGCCTTGCCTGGATTAGGTGATACTGAATTCTTCCAGGAGGTTCTCCAGCGCCCCCTGGTGTCATCTTTGCGATACAGGCAGGCTGATGAGTAAATATTTTTTAGCATTTCTTCCAGGGAAGAAGCTCTTGGTATGAGTTACTTTTCTTCATACCTTTAGGGTTAGATCTTAGGATTTTTCTTACTAGTAACTGAATGGGAAGCTGAATTTTGTGATAAATGGTTTGCCCAGAGGGAAGGCAGTTGAAAGGAAAGAGCAAAATTGAAGGTCTGTGATTCCTGAGTCCACACACTTATTAAAGAATTGGCGGAGCGGGGGAGAAACCCTGTCTCAAAAATCAGAAAAAAAAAAGAATTAGCGGGGCGGGGGGACACCAAAAAACATGATCCTCCTGCAGCCACTAGCTTACTTTGCTCCTATACCCTATCATCATAGAGAAATTACCAATATACAAGTCAGAGAAAATTCTGACTTGGGAATTTTCATAAATAAATCTCCTCTCTCCAACGACACATAACCAGGTATTTTACTTAACCTTCACATAATGGTATACAGATCTCTTTCCAACTTAGTCTCTTATGTCTATAATCAGCCTAAAATATTACCATCTCTTAGCATGTGACTTTCCTGAGATCTAATTCAAATTGATAATATTTTTTAAAACTTATCTATTTCAAGATCAGAGAGAGGCTGGCCAATGCAGTAGGCATTAAGCATGAACCAGACACAATCAGTTCCTTCAACAAAGCTGTTATCAGTAGCCTGAGTCTTGCCAGTATGATTTCCATTGTACTTCGCCCTAATACCACTTCCACTAAAACAATTTAATGCTACATCTTCAGCATTTACAGAACAAAAACTAATGTTTTCATGGTTATTTTCATGTAGATCTCACTTTATACTCACAACAACATCCCGTGTAATTTTTTTGCATTTTGTAAGTTTGCTTGGCCTTGGAAATTTTATTTGAAATTTCAGTTATCTGTCATCTTTACTGTACCGCCCTCCATTGGGTATACCCAAATATGATCATCTGTATTTGTCTCTGTCAAAGTCATTGGTTAAAATATTGATCACAAGGCCAGGCATGATAAGCCACACTGTAATGGCCATACTTGGGAGGCAAAGGCATAAGGATATCCAGTTCAAGGCCACCCTGGGCTACATGACAAGTTGGAGGCCAGGCTAGGCTATAGAGTGATACCCTGTCTCATAAGAAACAAACAAAATATTAATCAGAATAAGATAAAAATAGAAAGTGGACACCTGAAGTATCTCCCAAATGAGGTCTGCCATTTGACGCCACCTCTACACTGACCCAAACATGTACTTGCTCCACTTATTGTTCGTGTCCATCACAGCCTTTCTTCTGCTTAGTTGACATCTGCCATTTAAGAGCCATTCCGTTCACTTAGGACATGACATTCTACAGGCTCTCTAGTGTTCTTTTCAGAAGATGACAAACAGCCTTACCCTTGTTGAACTTGAAATTCTCGTAGACAAAGTTGTCACAGCATAACTCAATAGGCATTTGCATCCTAATGACACTTCTAGAACCAAGTTTAACCTAATTTTTGTGAACCTCTCCAGGCAAACAAATAGGTAGAACTGTGGTCCTGTAGGCATAGTCATTAACTGTCTGAAATACACTTATTTTGCTTCTTTATAACAGTTTTGAAGAAGTGATGTTTTCCTGCATAGACTGAAGAAAGCGTGTATAGCATAAGATCAAGGAAATCCAAAACGTGTTCTAAGCCCAGGTCTTGTCATGTAAGCCTGTAATCTCAAATACTCCAGAGACTGACTTATGTAAGGTTATAAATCCAAGGTCTGTCTGAGCCATTAAGTGGGATCTGTTTCAAATTTTAAGTTTGATTTAAAATAAAAAATTTAAAAAGAGACTAAGGGTATGTATGCATATAGACGTATAAGCCCCAGTTTCTCAAAGAAAAAGAAAAAACATATTTTATGCATAAAATAGAATGGCATTATACAGGTGCCTCAGTGCTAAGCATACCAACTTGACCTTTATAGTTCTCAAACTTCCTCTGAATTCTTCTGATGCAGCTGCTCCACTCTCGTATGTGAGGACCACAGCTTAATCATGCAAGGAGGTGAAAAGTTTTAATCATATCCATTCCAAGTAATGGAGAAGATACACACAGGCGTGAAAGGATGAATGACAAAATGCTTACAAGGGCATGCATGTTCATTGTTTCCTGAGTATGACTGATAAGGGCCAATATGATGTTGCATCCAGAAAAGGGCTAACCTTAGGTGTTTGTCCTTCACGTCCCAGATGTCAACTTCCACTTTACTCCTCCCCCCCCCCGCACCCCCTGCCTTGAGTGAATACATTTCACCTTGGGAATCATCCTTTCGAACTTTAGATTTTTCTGCCTTTTCATTTTCCCCAGAGTCAAAGATAAATTTCAGCCCAACCCATGATCAAAAGATGGTATATCTAAGACCAGTCCTCACTGAACTCACTTGGTTCTGCTATATGGTTTAAGAAAACTCTGAACATTATAAGCTAGCAAAATCCTTTAACAAAAATTGTTTATCTTAAGCACATAAGCCATAGCAAAATCCAAAATGCTAAGGAAATCAGATTATTTTTATTTTTGCATAAATATCACTTTAAGCCACACCCATGGGGTACAGTGAACCACTTTGAAGACTCTCTGTCTCTGTCTAGCAGAAAGAAAAGCCTCTCTTCTCCCTCCAACTTCACTTTTACAGCTCCGAGGTCCAGCTGCATTTTAATTCAATACAGTAATAAGCTTCCCCAAAGGAAGACACTGTTCTTGTATTGTTTACTTCCCGTTCCCAACTCCCAGCACAATTCAGGCCAAAATAAGCGCTGTTAAGTTAGCATTAATCATGGTCCGTTTGCAACGATGAAAATTATGCCAATTTCACCTGTCTAAACACATAGACTTCTACTTCATCCAACTAACTAAATGAAGAAGCTCTTATAAAGAATTTGGCAGTCAAGCACTTTAATCCAGTACTCAGGAGGCAGAGGCATGCAGCAGATCTCTGTAAGTTCGAGGCCAGCCTGGTCTACATAATGAGTTCCAGGACAGTCAGGGATACACAGAAACACTGTCTTGAAGGGGAAAAAAATGGGGGGAAGAAGCATAGGGCCTTAAACATGCTAGATAAGTGTTCTATTACCCCCAACCAGGCATTGCGTTTGACAAGAAACTGCTTCTACCAATCAAATCTACTATAAAGATGATCACTTCCTTCTCAGAAAAGACTTATGATACCGTCACTATTTGGTGATGATCTATCAACGTGAGACTTCCAATGAAGATTTTAGTTGGGCCCTAAAATTTGTATTAAGAATCAGCAATTAGAATGAGTTCTTCTCATCCTCAAATCCTCCTTTAAAAATGTACCTGACAGAGTCCAATCACACTTCTGGGCAATGCTTTAACTCTTGAAAAAGTCCTAATGTTTTATCTACGGTGTCACAGTGAGGTTCACCTTGGTGGTCTGTAATGATAGTGAGAGAGGCCGACACTAGTTTATCACTTATTTGGAGGCAGGCATTGTACTAAGCACTTTATCTAATCTCTGCAAACTTTGGAACAAATGTCTAACGTCTGGGTTATGCACAAACACCGTTTGACACAGGAACACAAAGAAACTGAGTTGTGTAACTTGTTCGTGTTTGCAGAAGCATTAAGAGAGGCAGCAGGGACCAGTCCCAAGAGAATATTTATGGAATCCTTACTGTTTACTCAACACTACTCAAAATCACGTAGTCTGGAGAGGGAAAAATGCATTTCTTTTCTTAATGAAATATTTCCTATTTTAAGACTCTGGTTGAATAGGAAACACAAGTAGTCAGTTTTGCCAAGGACATTGTGTTCAATTACGCCCCCCAAAAATAAAACAGAAAAAAATGTTTAAATCTCAATATGACTGCAGTATTGCACAATTTGAAGCTAGTGTTAGAAAATAAGAGCACCTTTACTTATTCATCCAATGTTCAAGTAATCATATTCCTGTGTGAAAGTCAGAAAACCTTTCATTCTACTGAAATGCATGTTTGTATTCCATTACATATATGTATATATATTTCACAATAACAGTACCATGAGCCCTCTCTGTCTAGAGACCCAGCATAGTGAATAAGCTGCATACTCTCCACTGACTGCCTTTGCCCAAGACACCTGCAACAGGAACAAAAATTATTACTCAAGTTTAGATTCTAGTCCAGGAAAAATAAACACACTACTCATGGGGAAAGTCTGGTCATAGGCATGAGAGAATTGACGTATGAATGATGAAGGATTAATAAAAGAAGAAAGAAGAAGGGATGTGAGGGAGAAGGATATTTGTAAGCAAATCCATATTTGGCAAGAATTCTGAATATTTCTCTTAACCAGTCTGCTCTGAGAGTAAGTAATAAGGTGTTGGAATCCAAGATATTAAGACCCAGTGAAGCCAAACATGTGGAGTACTTTCTACTTAGACAATGGACGGCAAGTCACATAAACTTGCTCTTTTTTAACTCATGGAGACCAAGTTCAACCTGTTGCAGAACATTCATGTGTAATAGTGAGCCACTATGCCAGTTCTTCTATATCCGCAGAGTAGCTGATACCCAGATTGACCTTCAGTGCCACAGTGAGCTGTGAAAGCATCAACGCTGAGGCTTAATGACATTCCTCATACTACGGAGCACTTCTTACATCTCTGTCTCACAGATGAGCGGCACAGATTGGTCCAGACTTTTCTCTTTAAAGAGAAAGACGTGCTGACACCCACATCTAACTGTGAAGATAAGCACATCTTCTTCTAGGCCTGGTTACCTCTTGCTCTATTTCTTTATGGATGTGGTTTTGAGATGGAGTCTTACTCTCTTCCTGCGGCTGGCTTTCTGTCCACTGTGTAGCTCGTGCCCATCTCGGATGACCACTTTCAATGGTGCCAAAAACTAAGGAACTGAGGGTCTAAAAAACGCAGCAGGCAAGGAATAATTTTCTATTAAAAAATTACAAGAAAGATACATTTATACTTGATTTAAAATGCTGTTTGGATTACAAGTGAATATTTTTCTTTTTAAACTTTTCTACAGAAGAAAATACAGTGCCATATAAGTAAGACTAAGTAATTTCTGTCAGTTAGTGAATTCCTACAAACTTTACTATCTTTACAGCCACTCTAATGCATAGTCAAATAGCAATTACTGTTTCTCAGGATTACAGCCTAGTCTGTGTTCACACTGACACAGCTACTGAAGGGTTCTTAGGCACCATTATTTAAATTTTCTAATAAAAGCCTCTCTCATCATAGGTTTGTTCACAGATTCTGAACACCAATCATGGCTATTTATTTACATGAATTTACATGAAGGACATCATGTAGAGCATTACTTAGAAGAAAATATTAACTAAGTCATAACATGTGCTTTATGGGACTTTTACCGAGGCACAATTGTGAACAATAAAAATCAGGTTTGAGGTCTGGCTGATGTCTCAGTTTGCTTCCTATTTCTGTGATCAAACACTGACCAGAACCAACTGGGGGAGGAAAGGGTTCATTTCAGCCTACAGGTTACAGTCTCCATCATGAAGGCAAGCCAGGCAGGAGACCAAGGCAGGAGCCTGGAGCCAGGAATCAAAGCAGAGACCATAAAGAAGTGTTGCTTACTGGCTTGTTTAGCTTGCTCTGTTCTGCAGCTCAGGCCCACCTGCCCAAATATGACACCATCCACAGTGGGATGGCTACCGTACATCAATCAGCAGGCAAGAAAAGGCCTACAGATATACCAAAGGGTCAGTCCCTCAGCTGAGATTCTCTCTTTCCAGGTGTGTCTGAGTGTGTATCAAGTTGGCAAAACTACGATATTTGGTGTCAGCACTAATCACCTTTGTCACTTAAGGACAATTGATTTGAATTCAGAACAAAATAAAGACCTATGGGATCAAATCAAGATATAAAGCCTCCCTGCTTCTAAACAAACTCATTTAATTTTAAATTCTATATTCAGTGTCCCAGGAATTATTAGTCCTTCAAAGTCAGAGTAAATAAAGCTTCCCTAGGGGAATCTAAGAAGACAACTGGCTCACAAAGTTTGCTGTTAAATAGGTAGGCTGATAGAGTGTTAAATAGGTAGGCTGATAGAGTGTTAAATATTTTGAAATATGCCAAAAAAAAAATCTTGTCTGTACTCCAAACCCCATGAGGACCAATAGCACACCTACTGAGCAGCACCAGTTGTCAATAAACAGGTTCATCACACAGAATGACGGGCTACATGTGCTGTCTCTTTGCCCCCAGATACCATATACATACGTGTGTGTGTGTGTGTGTGTGTGTGTGTGTGTGTGTGTGTGTGTGTGTGTTTTCAAGACAGAGTTTCCCTATATAGCAGCCCTGGTTGTCCTGGAGTTCACTCTGTAGACCAGGGCTGGCCTTGAACTCAGAGCTCCACCTGCCTCTGCCTCCCAAGTGCTGGGATTATAGGTGTGCGCCACCACCCCTGGCCGGAAGAAGACTTTTACTACAAGTAAGACTTGCATTAAAATCATTGCCACTGATTGTTTCACTCGCTCCTGTAGGAGAACGTGGAAGATGGTCGAGCAAGCATCTACCACTCCGTCATCACCAACACCAGCAAAGAAATGTCCTGCTTCAGCGACTTCCCAATGCCCGAGGATTTCCCCAACTTCCTGCACAATTCTAAACTCCTGGAATATTTCAGGATTTTTGCCAAGAAGTTTGATCTTCTCAAATACATTCAGTTTCAGGTACTGTGTGTGGTGGGGAATGGATTTCTCTGCCTTAATTCACACTTAAATGGAAAAGTGTCTGTGGCAGGGAAAGACCTTAAAATAAACTATGGCATTTTGGTGGCTTTGTGGAAAGGTAAAAGCATGGTAAAACTGTCCATTAAGACTGAAAGTTCAGATGACGATGAAAAGTGAAGTGAAAATAACATTTAAGCCAGTGCCACACTGATCTTTCCAAGCCTCGTTCCTCTGGAAAGGCTGTATGAATCCGAGCCTAATTGTCCTTTTTCTACGTTCTCCACAGAAATGGGTTAAACACACTGTCCACTTTCCATTTGTCTCAGGTTCACCTATCTACTTTTTCATAATTTCTTTTCTGCACGTAAACTGCAGCAACAGAGGGACGAGCCAATCATCTTGAGTTATACCTGAAATTACCATTTCCTGTACTCCACAAAGAGGAACAACAAGGAAACATGTTACCACTAAGCACAGAACACTGGTCTAGTTGAAACTGCTTTTCTGAACAAACAACTCAATGGGGCTCATTTTTAAGGCCTTTCACGTCCTTGGCAACTTTGGCTCTGTGAGCACCAGGCTTGGGTTGTGTTCACATACCAGATTATCTTCATGGAAATCTGTATTTGTAAATACTGTTGAAATGTCCACTTTTAGGGACTTGTTTTGTCCATTTTAGGGACAGCTTCATGTCCATTTAGAGAATCTCCTGTGGTTTCCCCTCCAATTCCTGGTAGAGCCATCCCATGAGTGGCAGTCTTCTAAGGATATCCTCAGTGCTTGCCTGCCAAAGGAACAAGAAGGGCCCACTTGACAGAGTTTGCTGGCAGTGGACTCAAGAAAATCAAATGGATTACCTATTACCCTCGCCCCATCCTGACTTCCAGGGCCCTGACAGAGAAATTAACGAGGCCTTCTCTGTGTTTGTTCAAGACCACCGTCATTAGTGTGAAAAGACGCCCGGATTTTGCCTCTTCTGGGCAGTGGGAAGTTCATACTCAGAGCAATGGCAAGGAGCAGCATGCCGTCTTTGACGCAGTTATGGTTTGCAGCGGCCATCACATTCAACCTCACCTGCCGCTGAAGTCGTTTCCAGGTGAGGCTGTGTGCTTCTCAGCATCGAGGATTAGGCCTCCGGGAATCTCGCATGGAGTTCAGATGGACAGGCGGGATTGGCTTCTGTGAATGGGGGTGGCAGTAAGCTTGAGGTACAGCTGGGGAGCGGAAGCATGCCAGACACCATCTCTGCTCCTATTGCTTCCTCTGAGTCTTCACACATAGCTCAGCTAACTTCCTCCAGATCATTACATTTTCCCCAGCAATTCAAAGGATTCACACAAACATGCATTCCCTATAAGAGGACCTTCAAATGCCTACCCTAATTGTTCTGTCCTGCCAAACCCATGGAAATTTACTACATCCCTGGGGCCTTTTCTACTGGCCAAGGATTGCTACAGAGAATTCCTGGAAATACACACTGAGGCGGAACAGAGATAAGGGGAGGAATGTGGGAGCAGATGCCTGAAGTCAGCTGGCAGGTCGCCGAAGCCTTCCCTCTGAAAGAACTTCCTAGTCAAGATCGTCCCCTAGACAAGGACTCACAAAGAGCATTCCCTTCCCAGAGTCCTCTGGGAAAGTGTCTGACACAGTGGGTCACAATCAGGCTTCATATGAAACTGCCCACACTAAAAGCAAAGAACACTTTAATAAGGCCAGATATTACTGGGAAGTATAAAAGGGGTGAACTGGAAGAACACAAATGGTTAACAATCAAATGGTCATTGAGTCACTCAAGAAGCAACTTCTGTAGGCCTGGTTTTAGTCTTTTAGTTATTTGCTTTTGCAAAATGATAAGCACTCTTCTAATTATTGCACAATTTCAATAACACTATTTCCAAAGAGTTCTTAAATGTATTGACGACGTGAAACTAGAGTGTCATTAGACTGCCCCAAATAGAACAGCTAGTGAGATGCCCGCGTCAGGTCATGATCTGTACAGCAAAGCCTTTGTTTGCCACTGGTGAACACACACACTCCAGTCTCTCACATGGACCTCATATTTCATAAGGAATTTTAGTTAGAGTTTGATATTTGACTATTGTAACTCCTGTAAGGGAGGAGGTGAGAATCCAAAAAGGGAAAACCGACCTGCAGTTTTATTGACATTCACTTGTCCTAATTGCTTACTTGGAAGGTTTCAGTTTCCCTCTTCTTCCTCCCACAGGTATCGAGAAGTTCAAAGGCCAGTATTTCCATAGCCGCCAATACAAGCATCCTGCTGGCTTTGAGGGGAAACGCATCCTGGTGGTTGGGATAGGAAACTCAGCCATAGATATTGCCTCTGAGCTGAGTAAGAAGGCCTCACAGGTGCGATGCTTTTGCTTCTCCTGTGCTGTGTGGAAGGGGTGGGGAGAGACCACTGGGGCACCCAGCTGTACACCAAAGGTCCATTGCTTGATAGGTGGCTGCCTGTTGTAGCAGCATAGGAAACCTGGAAGCCAGGAAGCCAGAGTCTAAACCCCACCTCTGCTGCTAACTAGCTATGTATCATAGAACCAGTCATTCTGCTTCTCTGACCTGTAGTGCCTTGGGGTTTTTTTTAATGGGATGTTTCAATTAGGTATTTCTGGTACAGAAAGCCTACTTTTTATCTAAGGCGCCTAATGAGAAACTGACCTGTTCATGTTTGTTTGTTTATTTGTTTGAGACAGGGTTTCTCTGTGTAGCCCTAACTGTCCTGGAACTTGCTCTATAGACCAGGCTGGCCTCAAACTCAGAGATCTGCCTGCCTCTGCCTCCCAAGTTCTGGGATTACAGGCATGCGCCAACATGCATGGCCTTACTATTTTAAGAACCGACTTTTAGAGATGTAGTACAAGGGCCAAGCGATAGCTTAGTTAGAAAAGTGCTTGCTGAACAAGCGTGAGGACCTGAGTTTGAACCCTAGAACCAATATTGTTTTAAAACCATGCATGATAGCACACAGTTGTAATCCCAGGTTGGGGACATAGATAGAGGTAGACACCACAGGTTTGTTAGCCAGGCGCCTATCTATTGGCAAGCTCCACTCCTGTAAGATGTCTTGTCTCAGATAGACAGATGGTAGGTAGGTAGATAGATAGATAGATAGATAGATAGATAGATAGATAGATAGATAGATGATCGATCACTGTCACCTTTCACTTTTCAAAGCTTTCAACCCTTGCCATAAAGAACAAGTAAAGAGGCAATAAATGAAAATTTGAAAGACAGTAGAAAGAGGCAGGGGCCACCAGCTGCCAGCTCCTCCATGCTGGAAACACCTCTAAAACTTGAGAGGAAGAGAGTGCAATAGGACAGGAGGAAGGAACTAAGTTGTCTTCACTGTCAGCCAAGTAAAGAGCCATCCAAGGCCGATGCATGTGCCAGGTCAGTGATTTGGACTTAGAGCAGATGTCCCAGAGACTCAAATACTGAATTTCATGAGCCATGTCTCTATAAGGTCATGATGTCAACAAGCCTAAGTATTGGCCAAATTTAATACCAAGCAGCTACTTTGGCTCTGTACCTGTGCCTTATAAGTCGTTACTCTTTTGCATAGAGCCTCTCTTCGATATTTATTAATCACATAAGTCTAAGAGTAAAATCGAGTAGTAAGCTCTCAGATCTTCACATCTGGACCTGGAAGTTAGCTTCTCAAAGATGGCAGCCTGAGCCTTGACCCTCACGTGGATCACAGTCTTCATCTAGGTTAATTTCTCTGCAACAAAGTGGTCACAACAGAAAGAAAACAAATAAAATGGAAAACCTAATGTTGATCCTACCGAAGGAGAGAGAGAAAATAATAGGAAGAGATGGTGATGGAGCATTTAAAGGGAATATCCAATACCCACTCCAAGTATTTTCGAGTCTTCCTAAGAGCAACAACAGGATCAAACTGAGATATAAGCATATGGCTCCCACACAGACCAAGGGTACAGCCATGAGTGGGTATGTGCTACTTCACAAGCTTAGGTAGGACTGATGTCCTTTCCCCAAAAAGCTGTAATGCCTCCTCCAAGGTCAATCTACAAAACAATGAGAGTTTGTGTGTGCTTATACTTCACAGCACATTGGTAACTTCCTTTAACCTGTACAGCAATGTCCCAAGAGAAAAAGCAGAGAGTAACCCAAAGAACTCACCAAGGCTACTTAGCTCATAGGTAGGGGGACTGAGTTTCAAACCTAGGGAGTCTGGACCCGGTGTCCATGACCTAAACCTCTTGAGAAAACTGAATGCCTTGAAAATGAGTCTTGTTTATTTATTGAAGATAGTAACAGACCTAATAAGATGAGACAAAAGTTGGGAAGCTGAAATGATGCATTTGGACCATGGAAAAACAACAGTAAAAATAAATAAATAAATAAATAAATCCCCACATCTTTGACAAGATTTTAAAATGTATGTATTGGAAACAGAAATTTTAATATAAAAGGCAAAGAATGCATACAACAACAACAATGAATGAAAAAGAGGCCTTCAGTTTGAAAGAAAATGGGATCAGAGTGTATGTGGGAGGAACTGGAGAGAGGAATGGAAAGAGGAAATGTTATAGTTATTATCCCAAAATGTAAAGACATAATTTTAAAAAGATGTGTACTAAAGAGGAAAGGAACCACAGCACACAGACAGAGGTTTTAGCTTTTAAAACACGTAATGTTCTTTCAGGTCTGGAAAGAGGTGGTTGCTCTTCCTATTCACCACCCAGAGATACTGAGATCCATGCATGCTTGCCTGCAGCCATGACACAGTAGACACACGTTTGCAAGGCCTGTGATTATTTGCCAGGTCTCCTTGGGTAGGCACAGTGAAGGGACAGAGGAGCTGTTTCTCAGGGAGCAGCAGAGCACATCTGTAAACACCAGAGAGGCTGGTCAACTACCATGAGAATTAGTCCAAAGACTTTTCTCATATCTCCAGGATGCTATCAGGGCTTTGATGCACTCCGCTCTCAGGGCAAGTGACTGGACAAACCTCGTCAGGACATAACTGCCAAAGAGAAGTGAAAGGCTAGGAGGACCTCACTTTGACATCAAATACTCTCAAAATGGAACCTGAGGGCTGGGATGGCATCTCAGCAGATAAAGTGATTTCTTCACAAGCAGAGGACCTAGACTTGACCCCAGAGCCAGAGGGGGAAATGGAGGAAAAGAAATGACTAAAAATTATTATTATATAAATGTATGAAGCTATTAAACAGTGAAAAAGAGAGAAGAAACAAACAAAGATGAAAGGAAGAGATGGAGGGAGGAGAAAGAGAGGAAGGACAGATAGAAGAAAGGAAGGCAGGTAGGTAGGTAAAAATATCAGGTTTCATGATACATGCTTCCAGTTCTAGAGAGGCGAATAGAGGCAGATTCCTGGGCTGGACAGTCAGCCTATTCTAATTGATGAGCCCAGGCCAGTGAGAAACCCTGTCTCAAATAAAAACCAAGATGGATAACACCAGGGATGATATTCAAGGTGGACCTCTGGCATCATTATGCATACACACAGATACACACATGCATGCGTGCACACACGTACATATACACATACTCACACACACCTTCATACATGAACACACACACACACACACACTGCACACAAATTAATAAAATAAAAAGAACTCAGCAAACTGTGCCACCAAACATCTTTTCTATTAGCTGTAGAAGAGATTCCTCCCAAGGGGCCAGAACTCATCCCTTCAACTGCACGCCTGTCTGTTTGCCAGGTGTTTATCAGCACCAGACATGGTTCCTGGGTCATGAGCCGGATCTCTGAAGATGGCTACCCTTGGGACATGATGTTCCACACTAGATTTAGCTCCATGCTCCGAAATGTCCTGCCCCGCACTATCGTCAAGTGGATGATGGAGCAACAAATGAATCGATGGTTCAACCACGAAAATTATGGTCTGGTGCCTCAAAACAAGTAACGTTATTTTTCTCTTTGTGCTGTACTTATTACAGGCAAGGCTGTCTGATGGTGCCTCTATTTGCAATGATCCAATATGCTAGCATGGTAGTGCAAGCTATAATCCAACAGCATGTGTGATCGTATTGGTCCTGGGATCTTGATTCCAAATTTGTACCATGTGTCTTTAAAAACAAAACAAAAAAAAAAACAGAAAAAAATTAAGAATATGGGTAGGAGTGTGGAAGGCAGGGTTAGAACTGATTGGAAGAACTCTCTGACAGTTTGGAGAAGGCTCTTCAAGAAGACTGTGATCTTCTCAGAGCACTGTGATGGGTAAAGATAGCTCTTCATCTGGTAACTCAAGCTCTGCTGCCCTAATGCACTGAAGGCTGTTCCCATGAGAACATATTTTTTTTTTCTCGTGGCCAAAAGACAAATATTTGCTGATATCAAAGTCACACATCTCGGATACTGTAAGCACAAGTAAACAGTGTGGATGTTTACCCTCCTTCAGTTGATAACAGCCTTCCTCCCCGGCCCCAGGGGAATATTTAGAGTCTCGTAAAGAGATGCTCCATTGTGCTGAATTAAGAATCCAGCTATAGGTCATAGATTGCCTTATGTTTTAAAACAAAGAAAACAGTTTACAAACATTAGACATTAGAACTCCAGAGAAACAAGCAGACTTAGTTCCACGGTCCATGCCACCACAGAGTTCCTGTGGACATTGGGGTCAGTATATGTCAGCAATTCCCATGTTGTGCATAGATTCTCACTCTGACTGCCCAGTGGGTCTAGGTGCTAATGTAGTAGTATGTTTCCCCTTATTTATGATTGGGTAGGTATTAAATGAAACTACCAAATAATGAAAAACAGATAGCATAAAAAGTGATAAAGGTACCACAGGGAACAATTGCCAGCGAACTCAAAATTAACAATGGGTGCTGACCTCACTTCTGAGCCCCCTGAGGTGCTTCCGCCTGCAGGGTTTTGTTGTTGTTATTGCTGTTATTTTGTTTTTTACTTTTATCACCTAGTTGTCTTCATTTGCTTATCAAATGAAGAGATGGTCAGTGTTAGACTGAGGCCAGTGACAAAGTTTGGGGTGGATAAAACAGTGGAGTTGGAGTTTGACGGATGTTTGGGAAACTCCTGTGTTATTCAGAGCCACCCCTAAAGCTGTCAAGCAGGTTGAAGATTCCTCAAAGACTGCTCTGAGTGTGTTCTTTCCTCTTGTGCCTCAGATACCTTCTGAAAGAACCTGTTCTGAATGACGACCTCCCCAGCCGCCTGCTGTACGGACTCGTCAAGGTGAAAACCAAAGTGAAGGAGCTCACGGAGACAGCTGCCGTTTTTGAGGACGGCACAGTGGAGGAGGATATTGACGTCATTGTTTTTGCCACGGGCTATACTTTCTCTTTTCCATTCCTTGAAGATTCGCTTGTGAAAGTGGAGGGTAACAGTGTCTCGCTGTACAAATACATGTTCCCCCCTCAACTGGAGAAGCCCACCCTTGCGTGCATAGGGCTCATCCAGCCTCTAGGCTCCATCTTCCCAACTGTGGAGCTGCAGGCACGTTGGGCGACAAGAGTTTTCAAAGGTGAGTGGGCTGCTCAACCGAGTGGAGTTTTGACATTTTTTTTCCCTTAATTTTACTGGAAGGGAGGCAGCTCTATGGTGGCGCTCAAAAGCCAGCTACCCTATGGGCAGTTGGTTCTCTGCTGCCACCTTGTGGGAGCCGGAGATAGAGCTCAGATTGTGGGACCTGCACACTAGCATGGCTCTACCCACTGAGCCATACGTATCTCACCGAGACAAAGTTTTACATTTTTTTAAAGGTTTGTCTCTTCTTGTTTGTGCAGCATGACACCTTCCTTGACAGGCTATTTTTTTTCCTGTTTCTCGGGTTCATTTCTGTTCAACAAAAGCCTCGTTTACCACCGAGCCTGTGCTGGGATCTGGTCAGCCAGAAAGAAATGTAAATAAGTTGTTTTTAGTAACATGACAAGTGCTTTGGTGGCAGAAAGTATACTGTGGCCCAGAAAGGAACTTGGTGTGATGGTACAAGGTCCAGGAGAGTTTTCTGATGTCTGAGTTTCATCAGTACAGAGAAGGCTTTGCCTGAGCAAAAGACAGAGTCAGGATGCCTGTGGAGAACTGAGAGCCACATTACCAATCTGTGGGGTGGAACAGGATGGGAGGTTACTCTTAAGAGGGACACAAAAGCTTTGTACATTTTGTTAAGGATCCTGGATTATAAAATGTAAACGTACAGACAGCTGTGAGGTTTTGTTTTGTTTCTTGTTCTGTGTTTTATTTTTATTTTTTTGTTTTTGATTTTGTTTTCTAATAGGGGAGCGAGAAAGAATCTAATGTAATCAAGGCTATCCTCAAACTTGTTATGTAGCCAAGGCTAGCCTTGAACTCCAGATCTCCTGTTTCTACCTTTCAAGTATTTCCAGACCTGTAATTTCAGTACTCTAGAGTCAGGAGGATAGATGTGAGTTTAATGACATCCTGGGCCACGCAGCAAGTTCAGTCTAGCTAGGGCTTCTAAACAGACTTTCTCAGAAGGACAGGAGGGAGGGAAGGAGGGAGGGAGGGAGGGAGGGAGGGAGGGAGGGAGGGAGGGAGGGAGAAGAGTAGGAAAATGCAACTATAAATCAGTCCTACACAAATCTAGTGCTCCTAAGAACCTTCTAGCTGATTCGTAGATTAAGTCTGGCCTCCAAACCTGGGATCTGCATCTTAGAAAGCTCTTAAGCCAGAGGCACCAGGAAGGAGGTATCCTCAAAGACCAGGAAGTGTCTACGTCATGTTACGTAATTCCATCAGTTGTTTGGAACAGAGCTGTATAACCCAGGGTTGGAGACTTGACAATCACTGAGGAAACTCCAGCGCTCACCTGGGCCAAAATACAGTGCAGCCTGGGCCAGAACCGAGAGAGAAAATGGAAAATGACATGTTGGAAACAGTCAGAGACAAAGCCAGCAGGGCCAGGGCGTGCTGGAAGGCTCAACACAGGGAAGGAGAAGGATCAAGGTGGGCTTACAGGACTGGCGGCTGGAGAGATGGCTGGGCCTGAGAATAGAGACAGGAGGGTCTCAACAGCAAACTCAGCTTTGGACTTAAGTCCCAGATGCTAGATGACTTGCCACATTTCCCCTCTGAAGCTCACAGGATGCTTGAGTACTGGGGACAGGCTCCCCCATACAGTGGGCATTGCACTATTTCATCTAACCCAACTGCCCTTGTTAGTTGGGGCCACTCTCATCCTCACCAGATCTCCTTCCACAGCCTTTTACCTGGTCTCCCTAATTGTAAGTTCCCCTCCCGTGAGCGCTCTTTCCTTAACCAAAGAGCCAGATGGATCTTTCCAAAGGGCAAATCTGATCTTGTTGCCTCACACAGCAAAGTCTTCTCCAGGGTCCCATCAGTGCCAGTATAGAAGCCACCCCAGCTGGCATCGTTTCTCAAGCATGCTTCCCTTCTTCAGCCCTTTCTCTGGCCTTTCCAGTTCATAGTTGATGCCAATGGCTATGATCCACTATGGAATTCTCACTCCTACAGCTCAGAAGCACAGAGGTCCTGCCTCTATGACATGACAAAACGGCCGAAACTTAATTTTAGAAAACAACTACTATACGAATCAATAATTTCGAATCAAGCCCACTATTCAAAGCAAATTTGTTTTTGTTTTTGTTTTCTAGGCTTGTGTAGCTTGCCCTCAGAGACAACTATGAAGGTGGACATTGTTGAAAGGACTGAAAAGAAAATTGACCTGTAAGCAATTTCCTTATAAAGAAAAATATCTATATGGAGTAGTGTGTCACAGAGTGCCATGGTCTGACTGCCTATGAGAGACAGCGGGCTGTTGAAATGAGTCCTGGATCACGGCCCAGTACAAATGGATCAGTTCTGTAGATAAGACTGGAAGTGTGTAATCTGATGTTTTTCCATATTATTTTTAGACATCCTGGTTTAATGACCCATAACTCAAAAAAACAAAGAAAAAGAGAGAGAGGGAGGAAGGAAGGAAGGAAGGAAGGAAGGAAGGAAGGAAGGAAGGAAGGAAGGAAGGAAGGACCAATTTAGGTATCTTTCCTTGGGTTAATCTTATTTCTTTTTTCTAATGACGCCCATGTTGGATTCCATATCCCCTCAGACCACCCACACTCAGGGACAGGATGAGGTCACCATAGCCTGAGGCACTCTCAAAAAAAAAAAAAACCGCCTCTGGTTTGTCAGTTTTGTTGAGATGAAAACGAGTTTGACAGTGGTCAATACTCTTGCACCACTGACTCGAGACCTTACAGACATAAGGAGTCATCTCCTGCGCAGATTTAATCCATCTGATATAGTATCCAGCACGTGCCAGCCAGACTACAGGGTACTTTAGCAGTTAACAAGGAATACTGTACATGCTGTCTCTGGAAGACACTACCTCTCTAATACCGCACCAGTATTTGTATCAATCCTGAGTCATACATTCTTACTTGGAGACATACAGCACCTTAATAAGTAATAAATAATCACCACCATTTCAACATCGTTACATTTCTAGAATCTCCGTGGATTTGTCTGTTTACTTTGTAGCATACTCATCAATCTGAGGTATGGGCCTCGTAATGGAGCCTCCCAGACATTCATTCAAAGTTCATACCTTCATGCGTTCATGATGTTCTTTAAACAGCCACTGAGTGCCTCATATTCAGACATAACTTAGAACATTTATGAATCTGCCCTTTTATTTACTTCATTAAGGTTTGGAAAAAGCCAGAGCCAGACACTGCAGACCAATTACATTGACTACCTGGATGAACTCGCCTTGGAGATAGGTGTGAAGCCAGATTTCGTCTCTCTGTTCTTCAAAGACCCTAAACTGGCTGTGAAGCTCTACTTTGGGCCCTGCAACTCCTACCAGTACCGCCTAGTTGGACCTGGCCAGTGGGAAGGAGCCAGGAATGCCATCCTCACCCAGAAGCAGAGGATCCTGAAGCCCTTAAAGACCCGCACTCTGGAGTCTTCATCCAGCATCCCAGCAGCTTTCCTGCTCAAAATCCTGGGGCTTTTGGCTGTTCTCCTGGCCTTCTTTTTCCAACTTCAGTGGTTCTAATCTGTCAGCATGACGCTTTTGTCCGCCAGTGCCTCTCATTCATCAGTGTCTCTTTGCAAAAACGACTGAAGAAATGACATCTACATTAGAGTTTTTACAATTCAGGGGAACAAGTGGGAGAAAGAATTGTAGGGAGAGTAGAAGAATTAGGTCTAGATATAAAACTGAAATGAAGGTCTTGGAATATCTTTTGCATCCTACTCTTTCCTCAAATTCACCAGTCTCCAAACAGTATTATAGAATAACACCAACACAGGTAGACAGCGCTTCCAGCCACAGCAGGTTTCAAGTTATATGGAAAAAAAAAAACAAATTATGCCGAATAAAAAGCAAGTCATAGCTGGGCATGTTGGCTCATGCACTTGAGAGGCAGAGAGTAATTGAGAGACCGAGGCAGGCAGATCTCTTTGAGTTTGAAGATAGTCTGATCAACGTAGCAAGTTCCAGAACTACAAGGACTACATAAGAGAGATCCTATCTCAAAAAAAAAAAGTCACATAGGTTAGATTACTGAACAATTTAGTTTTAAACTGTGGTAACATTTCATGTCCTGCCCACTGAGCTCCATGCTATTTCTATGCAGACTCTGGTCACAGTTCCCAAGTATTATGGTCTGCTCTGTTGGCTTGATGAGGGATCACTCAGAAATACTGATGGACAAAACTGAGACGATAGAACAAAAGCAACTACTTTAAGTAATTCACATTGTGAGCTAAGCAAATAGACTCAGTTCCTGTATATTGACATAAACAGTAATGCAAACATAAAAATAATATACCCTAGCTACAACATAGAGTTAACTGATATATATATATATTTATATATATCCCAGATTAGATGTTGTGCTATGTATGCATCATATATATATATTGCTTTATTTAATTCTCACAGCAATTATGAGATGGGTTGAGCTAAAATACCCATTCTGTAGATGACACCGTGTTGACAGACAGTTATGGAGCATGCCCTTAGCCACTGGCCTTGAGATGAAGCTTCAGTTGGAGCCCAGTTCGTTGAACCCTGAAACTAAAGGTCATAACCTCACCATGGAATATACTTATTTATTAAAATCTCTGCTCTTGATAAAGTACTTACTAATAGTTTATTCTATTCATTATAAGATTAGACCATAATTATATTCATTAGCTTAAAGTTTTCTAAAACCATTGTAGAAAGTGGCACTTTGCTTGCAAATTCATCTGACTAATTTTATTTACAATATTAGCTCTCTATTTCAGCTAGATCGTAAATAACACATGAGCTGGATGCAATGGTACAGACCTTTCATCCCAGTACTCTGGAGCCAGGTGGATCTCTGTGAGTTTGAGGCCAGACTGGTCTACATAGCAAATTCTGGGCCAGCCAGGGCTATATAGTGATACCCTGTCTCAAAAGGAAAAAGAAATTGAAGAGATCTAAAATGAGAAATATGTATACAGTAATACTTAAAATAATGATCACATTTTGAGAAAATAAGAATTGAACTAAACTATATCTGCCAAGCCGGCACAAAATGTTCCAGTGGCTGAGGCTGTGCCCAGGATTAGCATTACAGGTAAGCAAGGCAAATCTCAGCGATGTATTATCTATGCCATCTGATGAAAGGGGGTGTGTCGATTGTGAGGGACATTTCCTTTGAACTGAAAACTAAAGGAGACACAAGCAGTTGATGCCAACAAACATTGAGCAACATAACAAACACCAAGCTGTGGACTCTCCTGAGAGCAATTCTTTTCATGAGCCGCTCTGTGGGAGATGAGCTACACCCAGAGACCAAATCAGTGTCCCCCAAGAGAGGACAAAGGTTGGGATATTGAAGGCGTAGGTAAATAGTTCTTTGTCCCTCCGAACCCTCTGTGAACACTATTCTTAAACCTCAACCAAGCTCTCATTCTCACCCCCCCCCACTCCACTCCTTCCCAGTTTAATGGCAGTCTCTCCCAGTAGAAAGAGCTTTCTTTAAAGTCCACTGAACTGGGCTGCAGGATCTGCCCAGCTGGTAACGTGTTTGCCTTGTAAGCAAGTGTAGAAAGGAGCTCCAGAACTCACATTGTAAAGCCAGGGGTGGTGGCACACACTTCTAATCCCAGCACTGGGAAGGAAATGAAGACAGATTCCTGGGGATCCCTGGCCAGTCAGCCTAGTCTGTTTTAGTGAGTTCCAGGCCAGTGAGACACCCTGTCTCAAAAAAAAAAAACAAAAGTGAGGAATGAATTGCCTGAGGAACGAGACCAGAGCCTGACCTCTGAACATGAACATACACATGTTCAAATACACATGCATGCACCCCTGCACACACACATGCAACTGCACATGCTTAAACACACAAACACTTATAGGCATACACACACATACAAAAGTTCACTGAAATTATGCCACTTCACTAATTTGCTCGTAAGACTTCTTTCTATACCTATAAGCAAATTCCTTTCAAAAATTACAAATGAAATTCATCATATGCATATATAAAGTTCTAAAACAAAAAATTTTAAATAAAAATTACAAATGAAATATATATATATATTCTTATTTCTTTACAAAGAGCGGATTCCTTGTGTCAGGCAAGATGGCTCAGCAGGTAGAGGAACTTGCCACCCTGCTTGATGACCTGAGTTCAAGTCATAGGACCCACGTGGTGGAAGGAGAGAACCCATGCTTGCAAGTTGCCCTCTGACCTCTGTGCAGGCACTCATACCTACACCCACACACAATAAATAAATTTTAAAAATGCAGAAAAATAAACAAAAGCAGATTACCTCGTCAACTCTTAAAAATTCTTTTCAAATCATGATGTGAAACTGCCAACCTGAAGCAAAAATCAACAAGGCGCCGTGTGTGGAGCAAAACCTCAGTTCTTATGATGGTTTATCAGGACACAGACCAGCCGACTCACTTATTGCCCTTTCTTCTGTGCTCCAGCGGCAGAATGGAGCATTTACGACAGAGCAAGCGTGGGGGCCACAAACCCTAAGATCCTTCCTGTCTGACCCTTTGCAGAAAGCACGGCCACCCTGCCCTACATGTGCCAGGCAGTGCTCTAATGGTCCCATGCACCTCAACTCATTCTGCCATGGGCACCGCCCACAGTAGCAGCTTTGCCTACCATCCCGCTTCTACGGTGAAAGAGATGAGGGACACCTGTTAGACTGGTGCTCAGTCACTGTGGAGGATCGGTTTCGCTAAGACAAAATTATTATTCAATTAACACCATTGAAAATTTTACAAATCTCTTAAACTTTTTGCAAAACTTCTGATAATCAGTTTTCAGCTGCAGCTCCCTATAGAGGAAAAGGCCTCTGGGACGTCACCCAGTCGCCCTCTGCCTCTGTGCATCTTGAACATAAAGCTACCCCGGACCAACTTTCTAAAGCTGTCTGCTCCGAACCACTGTCCAGAGACCACCTACTTTAGAGACCCTCACAGTGCCATGGATATGGTCTTACAGCTTTTATAACATAAACATAATAACCTGCGCAGTCGGAATCTCTGCTGTTTCAGAATCTCCTGTGCACATTAGACTTAGGAGCCGTGAGTGTGGAAAGAAGGAGCATGGGTCGTGTGTGTGTGTGTGTGTGTGTGTGTGTGTGTGTGTGTGTGTGTGTTCAGAGACAGAAAGAGAGAGCAGGGAGGAAGAGAAGGGAGGGGAGAGGAGGCAGGCTGGCTGTTTTTAACCAGGTGTGGTAACACACACCTGTAATCCGGGGACCCAGAAGGCTGGGACAGGGAGAAAACATGTTTGCGGCTAGGCTGGCCTACATATCAAGACCCTGACTCACAATAGAAAGAAAAAAAAAAAAAAGAAAGGGGGAGAAAAGAGGAGAGGAGAAGGGAAGGGAGGGGAGGGGAGGGGAGGGGAAGGGAAGGGAAGGGAAGGGAAGGGAAGGGAAGGGAAGGGAAGGGAAGGGAAGGGAAGGGAAGGGAAGGGAAGGGAAGGGAAGGGAAGGGAAGGGAAGGGAAGGGAAGGGAAGGGAAGGGAAGGGAAGGGAAGGGAAGGGAAGGGAAGGGAAGGGAAGGGAAGGGAAGGGAAGGGAAGAAAAATCTTGCTTTCAGGCTGAGTCCCCGGCCTGACCTCTCCTCCAGCCCAACGCCTCCTCCCCGTTTGCAGCTTCCTGCTGCAGTCTGCAGAAATTGTTCTTCTGAACAAAATATGCGCTGGCTCCCACTCCCCTTCAAACCCCTCCCCAAGAGGATTCTCCTTAGTAATCTTTCCTTTAACCCTCCTCTGCATGAGAGCGCTTTGGTTTTCTCCATCAAAACCAGATGTGCCACATTTGTTCTTCGCAGAAAAGCAAAGATAGCGTTCAAGCGAACTACCCAGGCCATGACATATAAATGAATTTCAAACAATCATCCCAAAATATGAAGGTTTTGAAAGCTTAACCCAGAGGAATAGTTTTCTTTGAAGCCGGCCTTTCACCCTGGAGGCTGTTCCTGACCTGGAGCATCTTTGGCCTGCTTCCAGGAGCTACATGTGCTCACACCAAGCAAGACTCGCTTGTCCACCCTGCCCTATGACCCAGGAATAGATCAAAGCAGCTAATGCAAGGCCTCTTAGGATAAGGCTCTTTTCCATCCAGATGAAACGGGCAAGGTTTTATTAAGGAAAATATCTGTGTCAGCAAATAAGAGGAGCGCCTGGGCCGGCTGCAAGAGTTCTCGGCCCACAGTGCAAGGTCCGTCCTCTGTGAGGAGAGAAGGAAGAAAGATCAGAGGCCAACAGTGTAAGGGAGAGTCCTCGGGCCATGGAGTTGGGAGGTTGTGGGAAAGGTCCAGAAGAGCCACCATTTCTGCCCTATGAATCCAAACAAATCATCACAGGGACTGGCCACCCTACTGTGGGGTGACAAGTGTACTTCTGAAGTTGTCAAATATGACTTAATTAGATACCTAACTGGAAACACTACAAATTCTGGGGCAGGATTCTGTTTACAATCAATGAGGAGCTTTGTTGCTAAGTAGTTCTATACTTGAAGTCGTTGGCAGGTAGAAGATAGATGCTTGTATAAGGGCATCAGTTTCTCTTGGTGCTGAACCATTTCAAGGTTCATCAACCTTTGTGACATGGGTAAAATACTCAGAGCCATTGTATATGATAAATGCTTCAATTTTACATAATTATATTTATTTATAGCAGTCTGTCTTAAGACTGCCATCAAAGTAAATTCCTTTGCCCAAGTCATGTGACTTGCATGGGCTCATTGGCTTTCACAGCCAGGATCACACACTCTCAAGTCTTTACTATGTGAAGGTACACAGAATAACAAAGCCATTAATTATATCTTTGTATTTTCCAATAACTGCCTAAAATCGAAAATTATCGTATCATGTCAATCAGCTTATTTCATCTCTATGCATCAAAGAGGGAAATGGAGGGCAGGTTGTCAAGAAAAATTTCAGAATGGCTTTAATATGTCTGATATCATAGAATAAAAGTGTATTGACATACATAGCCTCCATTCTGCAGACAGGTTCTCACGGGAAAAACATAGAATAACCTCAATGTGTAAGAGCCTTAGAGAACTGGCTCCTGTTAAGCACGGGAAAGGTATTTTGTGTGGAGGGGTTGAGGAATGGAGAACTGCATAGATTTGAACATTGCTTTTTGCATGGCCCTAAAGGAAAGCGGTATACTGGGTAGGTCTAAACTGCCCTGTGCCGTTTCCCAGTCCTAAAATTCTGCAGCTCCAAGAATGAATCAAAATGGGAGATGGAAAGGAGATTTAAGACAATGGGATGGAGAAATGGCTCACCAGTTAAAATCAAGTACTGATCTTGCAGAGGACCTGAATCCAGTTCCCAACACCCACATAGGATAACTTACAACTTCTTGTAACTCCAGCTCCAGGGGATTGGGTGCCCCTGTAGGCACCTGCACTCACCTGTGCACATACTCACATACATAATTAAAAAGAAAAATATTTTTTAAAATTAAAATGGTTTCTAGATATAATAATTAATCCAGCCAACGACGTACTAATGCTTTGGTTAGTGGTGACTGGGCACAATTCGTTAGCCGCAATCACCAAATCTCCATACTTGGAAACAAAACCGAATTTTTCATAGACATAGGGGGCCTTTGGGTGATGTCTCAGAACTTCTTAATCACTATGTTATCCAAAACAGAAGAACATTTTTCTTGAAAAAGCAATGGTTACCATGCTGAAGACAAAGGAAGTCATATGGGAGCTTGTTCTGGGATTTTAGTGCCATGGAGCAGAAGGACATATTTTGATTATTTGCTTGTTTTTTCAGAAGGACATATGTTAACTTTGACTCATAGTTATTCAGGCAGAATAATTATGTTTTCAGCCAGCTACTGGGGGGCCATGCGGTGCAAGTCCATGCTATTTCCTCAAGAGCATGATTGGCTACTGATCCAGCTTCTAAGGGTCCAGACCCCCTTGAATAACAGGCTAGAGAGCTTTCTTCCATCCTGTGTTCTTAACTATGGCTAATTCACATCAATCCCTACAAGAAGCCAACATGAAAACCTCCAATGGAGGCCAGATGCCTCGTTCATTCATAATTAACACAAGTCTCTGGCAACTACAGAAATGAGAGAGTATAATAAAATGATCATGTCTATGCTCAGTCAGCAGTCCAAGGTCCCTTATGTGCAATGTGTCCTCACCCAGGGTCTAGTGGCTCCTCTAGTGCTCTCCATGTACACATCAAAATAATTTGTTTGGGTATAAACTTTGGGACAATAACATAGTCCTAACACTCAAGAGGCTTCTGAGTTAAGGCCATAGGTTTTCAGACATTCAAAGACGTATTACACTATTAGACTAACAATAGTCTTGCAGGCCTACTTTATGGTAAAATTTAGGTTTTAAATCATTCACTGACTATCATCTTCAGAGCTGCAGGAGGATAGCTGAACTAACAACTCACAGCTAGCAATGCTGACTCCTTGCCAAACATTTAATGAGTCATGAAAGCCAGAGCTGAGCCCAATAAATGAGCAGAATATTCGGTAATGTATAGGGTCGTCCAGAAGGGAGGTTAGAGGCCATGCTGAAATAGTATTAAACCAAAAGAAAAGATTTGCCCTGCCAAGAGCCGTGCACTGCCTCAGTCTCCCAGTATCTCTTGGAATTTTCTTTTGGTGCCTATAAGAACTCACTTGAGCTGGGAACCAATCAGCAATTCTTATGGGCAACTCATCAATGCATCACACTGTCAATACCATCACACATGGGAGTTATCTATGCCCGTGGCCATTTCACATAGATTGCCACTCCTAACTCCACAATAACTATTTGAAACAGGCATTATCGTCCCTGTTTCAAATAGATGAAGATGGAGCTGAGAAAAAAAAACATACAATTTTTTTCAAAAAATATTTTTGATAATAGAGCTGGTGAAGACGCTGAACCCAGGATTTAAGAGTTCAAGACTGATGTGGGATTCCCCTCTGTGTGCTGTGAATATCATTGGTTAATAAAGAATCTGCTTTGGGCCTATAGCAGAGCTATAGGGGAATAGAACTAGGTGGGGGAAACTAAACAAAAT